ATTGTGGTAAATTGTGGTCAACGTCATGAGACAAAGTGTATGTGAACTGCCATATGGAAAGAGAATTTGCTCTGTAAATTTTCACCCAAATCAAAATAATAATAATAAAAAAGAAACATCTGAAAGTATAAAGTGATAGGTACAGGAAAACACTTGATGAAATAAATAAATGCCTTATGGTGGTGTAGTTCAAACCCACTAGCCACTCCTCAGAAGGAAGATTGGGCAATCTACCTCTATAGAGATACTGCCTCAGAAACCCAAGGAGGGGTCGCTATAAGTCAGAAAACAACTTGACAGCAGTGAGTTTGGAGTTGAGAGAGGGTTATTTACTGTAGAAGGAAAGCAGGAATTGATGTTCATGATAGTATGAAAGTGGGAAAGGCCATCCAAGGTGCAGAAACTCAATATTCTAGGAAAGGGAAACATGTAAGTTTGCAGATTTTGTTTCTCACTTGAAGCCCAAGAATATGAGTTTCTCATTGGAATTATTTGTAGAAGGATTATTCAACTGAGTTAAAACTGAAAACTCTGAAAAAAGTATCCTGGTCACCTAAAGAATCCTTCAATGTAAACCAGACTCAGCAATCTAGGTATTGTAAAAAAGAATATATAGCTAAGAAAGATGTAGGGGGCTGACAGATGGGAAAATACAAAGAGAAGAGCAGAACAATGGAATAGCTGGGAATAGAATGCCAGAGTCCCTGCATGGCTTTTAACCAAAATAATGGAAGTTTTGGTTGACTCCAAGGTGCCTCAGAAGAAAGGCTTGGAGATTTACTTCCAAAAAATTTGCCATTGAAAACCATGGAATCTACAAGATGACAGCTGGTTTTTGTTTTCCAAGGCCAGAATTTTGCTTAAAGAATTGTCTACTGTTATTTCGAAATATTCTTCACAAAAGAGAGTGGAGTTAGAGTCCATCCTCAATTAAGGACAGGTGGAAAATTATAGAGTTAAGTAAGAAATGGAGAAAATCTTGAATACTTCTAAAGTGAATTAAAATATTATTAAATATGTGGTAGACCCGAAATGAATGGAGTGATAAATGTGTGGGCTAATGCTGCCACAAAAGTACCTTTTCATATTTTACAAGTGCACAGAAATGTTTCAAATGCTAGTGTCAGAAGTCCCTATGAATGAGTGACTGTCATTAAGATATGTAGATCACAGGTTTGTATTAACATCTCACTAGGTACACTTTCCCAAGTGAACTTTTGGTTTATATGTATTAGATTCTAGACATCTTGGATTGATTGACACCTCAGAGGAAAAAAAAAAAAAAAGCTAATCTTAAAGCTGTTCTTTAACCTTATATATTTTTCCCTCTTCTAGTTTTTCTGCCTGACCATTTTCCTCCAGATAACAATATGCATCTGCTTTTGTTAACAGGTGCAAATTGCACTGTGAGTTAGGTAATAGTACATGTATTGTATTTGACAAAACATTATTTCACTTGAGAAGTACTAATTTGTAACAAAATTGGAACATCAAGGTAATACTGGCCTTACTTTCAAATTTATGTCATTTTAAATCTTGAAACCTTGATAAAGAGGGATGCATGAAAGACAAAGTATAAGGATTATTTATCCATGTTTGAATTGAAATAAGGAGAATCAAACACTAAAGATGCTTAAGGGAGTCACATTAATACCAGATCGTAAGTGCAGATAAGAGACCTTGACACTAACCATGAATTTAAGTGAGAACAATTGGCTACATTGAGTAGGACTGAGCACAATATCAGTGTGAGGGCAAAAACAACAAAACAAATCTGTTGCTCTTGAGTTGATTCCTACTTATGGCAACTCTATGACTTACAGAAAGCTATGCTCCATAGGGTTTTTTCTGGCTGTAATTTTTATTAGTAGTAGTTTGCCAGACCCTTCTTCCAAGGCACAGCTTAGTGAGTCCAAACTGGCAACCTTTGGTTAGCAGTCAGCATAAGCTGTGTGCCACCTAGGAACCTTCTATGTGAGGGATAGTAACAGTTTTATAATTAACTGGGATTAATTATGAGATACATTTTATACATGTTGTGGGATTAAATTTCTCTGGAGAAAAAATAAACAGGGACATTAATTGTATTAGAAATTTAATGTGTTGTTACAATAGATAGATTTGAAAGGGAAGGCTTATGGACTTACATTTTCAAGGAGGTGGATTAATCAGGTTTATTCTACAATTATGTTATTTCAAATATAGTATTGTTTTATGTGACGTAAATAGAAAAAGTGCCTTGCCTGATCACTTTGTCTTGAGAAGTAGATTATGGGAGTAAGAGACTTTTGGATAAAATTAGCATTTACTAAAACATATATTGTAGTATACTAGTTTTGTTTTATGCTGTTTGGTTTTGTGTAGGGGAAAAAATGTTTGTATAGTCAAATTAATTTGAAGCTACATAAATTCAGAAAAGTCAAATGGATTTATTTATGCTATGACTTTTCATATTTAAAAAATTTGTTATTTTACATTATAAAGCCCCAGGAGAATATAGATTGTATAGTATTTTCTAACGTAACTACCCAAGAATATCCATTTTCAAGGACATTTAGGGGCTAGCATTCCTTGGAAAGGGGCTCTAATGGTACAGTAGTTAAGGCATTTGGCTGCTAACCAAAACATTGATGGTTTGAACCTACCAGCAGCTCCATGGGAGAAAGATGAAGTAGTTTGTTTCTGTAAAGATTTACAGCCTTGGCAACCCTATGGGGCAGCTCTGCTCCATCCTATGAGTTAATGTTAGTACTCAGGGAAATATTAAAGAGCCACTCATAGAAATATTGTAAGGGGCTTAACTCTCTACACCAAAGATCGTAAGGAGATAGTAAGCAGTGGC